ATATTAGTGGAACCATTGAGATTGTATAATAATTTTTCATACCATAATTCTGCCTTCCCAAATATAAAGAGGCATCCCTACCTTTACACTAGCTTAAGAATTTTATATCTAAGTGTTACTGAAATGCCACCTACTCAGGTCAGTTTATACTTAAAAAGGGGCTTCCCTGGTGGTGCAAGGGGTTAAGATGCAATCTATGAAGCAATCTGCAGACACTGCAGCATGAGTTCAATCCCCAGCCAGGGAGGTGACCCACATGGCGCAGCAGACGACTCCTGACTTGCCCGTTGCTCCCCTGAGCAGGGTACTTCAGTCAGTCTGCCTGTTCTGTTCCCTGCTCTGTCTCTGGTGAATCCTCTCACCCCCCCACATCTCTGGCCTGCGCCCCAGCTCTTGTATAAATAAATAAAATAAATCTTTAAAAAGATTATCAGGGCCTCCCCGGTGGCCCAGCAGGTAAAGCGCAGCACTGTGAAGCTGTCCGCAGCCTCCGCAGTGCGGGTTCAATTCCTGGCTGGCCGGGGAGATACCCACATGGAGTGGAAGACCTCTCCTGCCTCGCCTGCTGCTCCCCTCAGCAGTGCTTTTGGTCTGTCTGCTTGTTCTGTTCTGTGCTCTATCTCTGGCAAATTCTCTCACCCTCCCATGCCTCTAACCTGTACCATAACTATTGTATTAAAAAAAAAAAAAGATATCAAATGAAGGCTTCCCTGGTGGCACAGGCGGTTGAGCACAGCGCTGTGAAGCTGTCCACAGCCTCTGCAGTGCCGGTTCGACCCCTGCCGGTCCTGGAGCAACCCACATGGCGAGTAGACCTCTCCAGTCTTGCCCGCTGCTCCCCTCAGCAGTGTATTTCTTCAGTCTGCCTGTTCTGTTGCCCACTCTGTCTCTGGTGAATCCTCTCACCCTCCCGCGCATCTGGCCTGTACCCAGTTCGTGTATAAAAATAAATATATCTTTAAATATATATATATAAATCTTTAAAAAAAAAGATATCAAATGAGATCTTTTTATAATAAAAATGAGTCTTCTGATTACTGACTTCAACCTAAAATTTAAATCAGTTACTTTATTCCAAGAGGCTTGACTTCAAGTCTCTTAACTGATTTTCTTCCTGGGGGGTAGAAGGATTACTCAAATCAGTCACTTCAGTTGCTTGTCTATTTCCTTTATGGTTTCAAAACAAACAAAAACTTAAACAGGCTGTACCACTGTGACCAAATGGCCCATCAAATCACAAATTAAGGTGACTACCTTTAAAAATCACTGACGACACTGATTAAAATGCTGCCAATTCATAACTAGTGAAGTTAATGAAAAGTACTTATGAAATTAAACTCAGATAATTCAACATCTACTTTTTAGGTTGTAGATTTAACATGCATGATTAATATTGGTCAGCATCGGCTGAATGTTCTGAGTGTCCTCTGCTTTTAGTTTTAGTTTATGTCCAAGAAGCAAAAGAGCAGCAGCATAAAATATGTATACTCCGTGACTTAAAAAGACCAGGTTGCTCACCTGAAGAAAAAACATGGAATAGTGGGACAATCCAAAGCATTTACCAAGGACCTTTGATGAAGGTAAGAAGAAGTGGAATGGTTCTAAAGGTTTTCCTGTAATAAGCATCACTGCCTCTCTCGTTTCCTAAGCCACTGGTTATCAAACTGAATCAGTCACAATTCCCTAAACATTTTTTTTTCCTTAAAAAAAAGATTTATTTTATTTATGCATACAAGAACTGGGAGGCCAGGGGTGCCAGGGTAGGGGTGGGGGGAGGGGGCAAGAGGATTCACCAGAGAGAGTGGAGAACAAAACAGGCGGATTGACTGAAATACACTGCTGAGGGGAGCAGCAGGCTACACAGGAGAGGTCTGCACTCCATGTGGGCTAGCTTCCTGGCCAAGGATCAAACTCATGTTGTAGTGGCTGCCAATAACTTCATAGTGCTGAGACTTCACCCCCTGTGCCAGAGAGGCCTCCTAAATGTCTTTAAATGCTAATGTCTGGGTCTTAGCCAGAGTTCCTGATTAAATGCCTGAGATGGGATTTTTGTATTTCTAAAGGCTAATTTGGAGACCACACTTTGAGAACCACTGTTTAAACCACTTTTTAATCTATGACTTTATAATTACTCAATTAACTCCAAAGATCCTTCAACATAAACCACTCCTTTCATAAAAGCACATTTAAATACGACCAAGGGCCTCCCTGGTGGCGCAGCGTTTAAGAGCTGGGCTGCCAAGCTGCCTGCAGCCTCTGCAGTGCCGGTTCGATCCCCGGCCACCGTCGAGGGTCCCACATGGCGTGTGCGGACCTCTCCTGCCTCGCTCGCTGCTCCCCTCAGCAGTGTATTTCATTGGTCTGCCTATTCTGTTCCCCGCTCTGGCTCTGGTGAGTTTTCTCACCCTCCCGTGCTTCTGACTGTACCCAGTGCTTGTATAAATAAATCAATCTTAAAAAAAAAAAAACTACCACCAAACTGTAACTTTTGACCTTAGGAATCTGGCCTAGCAAAATGGATCTGACGGGTTTTATAAATTAAGGGAGCAAGACCCTCAGGACAACAGGTGCATAAAATAAACCCACTTATAGCCATCCCAATTAGTTACCATTGAGGTTCTGGGATTGAACGTGCCCAGTATGACTTCACCTTGAGTTCCCTGATGCTAATGGAAGCACATGGGACACCATCTGAACACTGTGTAACTATGCATTTGAGTTGCTTGACAACATCAATACCATATATCAAGTTCTCCAAGGAAGACTAAAGCTTTAGGATGGTCAGTGGACCAGCAAGGGTACTAACTGGGAGCTGAAAACCTGAATTTTTAAGCACACCCCAACCTACCAATCAGAATTCACAATTTACCAAGATTCATAGGTGATTCCCAGATACATCAATGTTTGAGAAGCAAGCTGGACTAAAAGATGTCCTAACACATGGGGAGACCCTGGTGTATTACCCAGCGCTTAGCCAAACATCTGGACCTTTGTGGGGGGGGAAACCTCCAATTCTGAACACACTATTAATGTAATCTCATAAAATAACTGAATGCTAAACTAGAAAGGGTCAAAGATCAAGAAGTCCTCTCATTTGGCCAGTGTGGTTTATTTTGACCTTGTAGTGCATGTCCTACATTTACAAAAGTTTTCACAAGATACAGCATCTATAAAGATGGCTGAGAAAAGTTTTCTTCTACTTCTAAACTTTCTAGCTCATGAACTTGAAGTAGCATAAACTTTTATTCCAATAGTTTGATCTTACTAAGCAGCTAAGGAGTAAAATGGCTGAATAGTATTTGAGACATGAAACGGGCCATTTATTATAATGCTCAAAAGGAGGAAGGCTTAGTTTGCCTCAAGTCCACATAAAGTCACTAAAGTATATAAAGAAATACATATGGAAGCACTACTCTAACACTGCCTAAACACAATACTAAAACTGCTATTAACTAAATCCTCTTGAGTAAAAAATAAATCTGTTTCCAACTAAATTTGGTAGATAAGACCATTACCTCTAAGGTCCATTGTCATTAACTTAAAAATTTTTATTAACCATTTTTATAAGGCACATTTAAGTATGGTAAAATTCTAAAGCTGAACTGTCAAAAAGAGCAATACTGAGCTTCTTAATCTTTACTGTAAGTTTTGTCCTAAGGGGGATCAATAATACCTTTCTAAAAGACTTTAGCATAAAGATGAATACATCTGAAGATAAAATACATTGCACATCAGTGAGTGAAAGTGACTCAAAAGCCTCTACCTGGACTCTAAAAATAGACTACAAGTCAAAACTTTTATTCAAAAAATACTGGCTTATAAAAGTAGTTCAAATTAGTTTCCTTTCAATTTGATAAGCTTTTCTCATTCAGAATTCACCTGTTAACACTTTAGGTAATGAATTTAAGTCGTAAAACACTACTCAAGCACTTTCAGGTTTGAGAGGGCCTACATTTGAATGAAGACCACATTTGAATGAAGTAAAATGGTTTTTATCAACTCACATTCTCTTATGTCAAAACAATGTATAAGACGGTGATTAACCAAGACTCCTGTTATACCTGGAAACATCTCCCCTCCTTCAATTTTTTTTAATGCTAAAAATAGGCATTACATTTGATACATTATAAGTAGGCAAGAATAGAGGCACCAGGAAACAAAAAAAAAAGACTGGCTTTAAAATATTAACCAATCAGTATCCTGGAAAGCCAGGGACAGTAACCACATGAGGGTCCTTGATTGGATCCATATGCAGGAGTATAGACACCAGCCCAATGAGAATATAATCCTTCCCTGTCAACAGTTCCAAGCACCTTTAGATATTCCAGCCCAACACATTTCAGGGACTCAAATTCACAGCTCAGATTCTTGTCAACCTCTTCAAAAACATCTAGTAGCCAACAGGATCCTGAAGTGACAGCTTCAATAAATATACCATGGTGCAGCTGAATTGGACCTACTCCTCCCCAGGGAAAAAAGAGATCTAGTTGAGAAGTTTAAAATTCATAGGTTTTTAGCTCAGGAAAATATGACTGAAATCTTGTTTTTGTGAGTCCATATCCAATTTGTAATAGAAAGTTAAAAAAAAAAATTAAAATCTGGTTACTATATCCACACCCACGAACTTTCCTTGGGGAGTTCATCTCTCAAGGAAATGTCAATGTATAGGAGGTATTCCAGGGCTGGAATTCTTACTCTACAGCATGTAAGTCAATAACCTATCAATTACAGAATTGGACAGAACTTGTGTTGGTACAAAATTCACAAACTCCTTTGGTATCTGAACCTAACCCTTTACCTGAAAGCTACTTCTGGTTTAAACTCTGGCTGTTTACTGAAAGAAAAAAGTTTAAAGCACTACTTCAGTAAATCTAGTTTAGTACTTAGTCCTTATAGTAAGAACGAGATTACCATTTTAGATAACACTAATGAAATGCCTACACAATGTTACTAACCTCCCTACCTATAAAGAAACACTATTTCATAGTAACAAAGCCTACTTTTGTATAGCGATGGGGGGATTTGGAGGCCGGATGCTTCTTCAGGTCAAGGAAAGCATCTCCATTTTCTGTTTCACCCACACTTCTCTTGTCCATGGCTCCGTGGTCTACAGTTCTTTGCACCTGGAAGATAGATCAGCACAAAACTGTCACCGGTAAGACTATATTTTCAGAAGTCTTGATCAAGAAACTGAAATTCTTCTCTTAAAATGACTAGCTTTGAAAACCAAACCCTCACCCAACAACTATGCTATAAACCAGAACCCACTTTGAAGTAAAACCACTGGCATTAGGCTTTCCCTTCTAGTAAAGGAAGTATTCTAGGCATCAACAGGGTAAGGAAAAAGTAGAAAGTGCCCAAATCAGGGTACAATCTTCAAGCAGTTTTAATACAAAAAGAAACTAAGATAAGTCGCTTCCACCCTTGGGGGCTGATCAGGCAGTCGCGGGGAAGTTTCTCGCCGTGGGGGCAGGCGGGAGCCTGGTTTGGGGCCGGGGATCCGGGAAGTCGGGCTGTGTGTGGTAAAGTGCCTGTCACTTGCCAATGGACGGCGCCAGCTGCCCCTTGTTATCCGGGGGCCGGGGGCTGCGGACAGGGTCGGCGCGCCCCTCGCCCGGCCGGCCGCACCTGTGGCCATGTCAGGAGCGCCCGTGGCAAGGGAGGGGCGAGCGCCGGCCTCAGCTCGGAAACTCGCCTTCCCGGGGCCGCGACCCCAACCCCCGGCCTCTCGCGCAGGCCCCGGCCCAGCGGCCTCCTTCGAAAGAAGGGCGGGGACGGTACTCACGGAGGGAGGCGGGCCGGAGGGAGCGGGGAGGCCGAATCCCCCGGCCCGGGCGCTCTGAGCTGGAGCCGGCGCAGGCCCGCCGCCGTCCGCCCCGGCCCGGCGGCTCGGGCCCCGCCAGCCCGCCCGCCCGCCCGCTGCCCGCCGGCCGCCCCGCTGGCCTCCCGCCCCTGCCCGCCCCCCGCGCGCGCCCCGGCGCTCGCGCTCACGCACGCGACCCCGGGGCAGCGCGCCCGCGCCCCTTCCCTCCCCGCGGGCCCCGGCGCGCGGCGCCCCGGACCTCGCCGCGCCCGCCGCCGAGCCCTTACTGGGTGCCTCCGCCGCCCGGCGGCCCTTCGCCTCGGCCGCCGCCGCCCTCCCCGCGCCCGCGCCGGTCCGAGCGCTGCTCCGCGCGGCCTTCGCTCTCGCCCCCCCCACCCGCCCGGGCTGTCTCTCCTCAGCCGCCGTAACCGCGGCCCGGCCCTCGCCCCTCCTCCCCGACCCCCTCCCCCTTAATAACTCCCTCCGCGCACCCGGGCCCCGGCGCCGCCCTCGCCGCTGCGCGCCCGGATGTGAGGTGCCCGCGGCGGTGCCGGGCGGGAAAGAGCAGCCCCGCGGCGCGCTGCCCGGGGGTCGGCCCCCGCGCGAGCCCGGAGGCGGGGAGGCGGGAGCGGAGACGAGGCGGCGGGGGCGCCGGGGGGGCCGCGGCGGGGCCAGCGGAAGCCCCGGCCTGTGCGCGCAGGCGGTCGGCGCGGGCAGCCCGGGGAGGACGCCGCGTTCCCACGCGCGCTGCAGGGGCGGGGCGGGGCGGGGCGGGGCGGGTCCGGCCGGCGGCGCTGGCGGCCCTGGGAGCCGGACCCCCGCCCGACGGCTCCTCTGGGGAGGCGGTGGTGCCCGGGCTGGGGGGCTGGGGGGTTGGGGAGGCTGGGGTTCCCCGTGGGTTGTGCCCCGGGAGCGCGTTTCGCTCGGGCGGAGAACCCTGGGGCTTCGGCAGTGGGATTGAGTCAGGCGCGCCTGGCGGTGTAGACGCACACCTCCGCTCCTTTTCACTAGTAGGAGGATCGTGGACAAAGCTGCCTTCTTTAGGGTTTGTTCTTTTTCTTTCGAAAATGGGCCCTCTCTAAGGTGGTTAGAAATAAGCGAGGGTACGCGTCGCTGTGTTAGTGGGCACCTGGCCATGGCTGCTTTTGATTGAGCTGAGGGCGACGAACGAATTCACTGAAATGGCATAACCTTCCCTGGCCTGTACGGGAAGGGGAAGTGCGAGTTTGGTTGAGTGAAATGAGATGGCGAACGTCTCCGTCTAGCCTCGTACTTGGGCCCGAGGCTGTGGCCAGCAGGGGCACAGACATACAAATTTCATTTCCCGATTCTGAGTAAGGAGAGAAACATATGCTGGTGAGGGGAGCTCAGAGTGAGTCTGGTCTGCAGGATCATCACGATCCCCAGTTTCTGCCCCGTAGGACCGCCCAGGGTTGATGTGAAATGATACATGGGCGTGGAGTGAGAGATGGAAGTTTTTTTTCTCTGCAGGGCAGCAAAACCGACATTTCTTTAAATGGGCCTACTTTCTTGGGGCTTCACTCTTCGCTTGTGAAATTAGACTAGCAGTGATAGTTCCCTTTCTCTGTTGGCAACTGAGAAAACTGAAAAAAAAAAATTTTTTTTGTCTGTAATGTTAACTAAAATGTGTTCCTTACAAACTATCTTCTCTGCAAGCAAGAAGCAAAATTAGGCTATCTTTATGGTTCTTTTTCACTTCTGTAAAATTGGATTGGTAACCCATTCACAGCTGTTGTCAAAATTAAATAGTATAAGGTGGGTGAAAGCTTTATACAACAATCTCCATAAATCAGCTATTTTTTTTTAAGATTTATTTATATAAGAACGGTGTACAGGCCAGATTCGCGGGAGGGTGAGAGGATTCACCAGAGGCAGAGTGGGGAGCAGAACAGGCAGACTGACTGAAATACACTGCTGAGGGGAGCAGCGGGCGAGGCAGGAGAGGTCTGCAGAGCCATGTGGGACCCTCACAGGCTGGCAGGGATCAGAGGCTGTGGACAGGTTCACAGCGGGGTGCTCAACCGCCTGGGCCACCAGGGGAGGCCCAAATCAACTATTTTTCTTAAGCCTATACAAAGTTGCTTTGTAGGTAATCAAACAATGGTGGGTTTGTGTTTTGTTTTTTTTTTTCTTTTTCTCTTTTTAAAAACCCAGCTCCTTGTGAATCTAGGTTCCATGTAATGCTGGGGAAAGTGACCCAATCCCCTGTCACAAGAGTAGTGGAGAAGGCCCATTCTTTAAAACTTTTAAGTCTTGGTTCTGTCCCTTAATGTGTAATGTGAGCCAGTATTTTAACCTTTCTGGGCCTATTTACTGTCAAAAAGGGATAGTGTCTAATTTTCAGGCTTGTAGAGGGAATTAAAGATACTATTCCCTTCTGGTTATCTGTTGGTATGTAACAAAACACCCCAAAATTCAGTGGCCTAACCCAGCATTCAGTTTGCACCCAAATCTGCAATTTGGCCTTGTTTCAGCTGGTCTCTGCTCCATTCAACATCAGCTGGGGCTGCTGGAAAGCTGGAGACTAGGAGCATCTAAAGACTCTTAGATGTTTGGTGGTTGATCTGGCTGTTTGCTGGGGCCACTGAAGTTTGAGCTGGAATACTTACACATGACCTTTCTGTGGCCTGAGCTTCCTCATAGTATGGTAGCTTGATTCCCAAGGCTGATGTTCAGGGAGAACTGAAGACCAGACAGTTACAGAACTGTCTTTTCTAATCTAGTCTTGAAGATGCTCAGTGTCATGTCTACCATGTGCCACATTCTGTTCCTTAAACAGAAATCACTGGTGCTTCCTATATTCAAGGGGAGGGAACTGACACTCCACCTTTATGGGGAAGGAATGTAAAAGAATTTGTGGGCATGTTTTTAAATTACCATAAGGGGCCTCCCTGATGGTACAAGGGGTTAAGTCTCAACACTCTGAAGCTATGGGCAGCCACTGCAGTCCCCAGCCAGGGAGCTAATCCACATGGCGCAGCAGATCTCCCCTGTCTTGCGCACTGCTTCCCTCAGCAATGTATTCCAGTAGATCCACCTGTTCTGCTCCCCACTCTGGTGAATCCTCTCACCACCAACACTGCCCCCCGCACCTCTGGCCTACACCCCAGCTCTTATATGCATAAATAAATAAAATAAATCTTAAAATAAAAATACCATAAGCTATGTGTGAAATCTGCTGCATGCATTGTAGCTATCATGATGGAGGCCTGGCCTGGGGCTAAATTCCTGGGTCCTATCCTAATTAGGACCTATGTGGCACTCAGCTCTTCTTTAATGTCTTGTAGAACCTTGGTCTCAACTCACATCTTAACCTCCCAAAGTCTCAATTTGATCTTGTAAAAGAAGAAAATTATTACCTGGGACTAAAGATTATTAAGGTAGAACATCTATAACTTTTCACCTGTGTGATGCAAACACTAGATAGATACTTGCAAGTTGTTGTTTCATTGTAGCTTTTGAATGTTATTTTTCCTTGGCAGGAATATTTGTAGTTATACATGCCTGTTTTTGCAGTTAATGCATTTTCAAACAGCAGTATTGGAAAACCTTTAAAGTAAAAGACACTATTTATACTAGTTCCTTATTAAATATTTGGAATCTCCTGTATTGGTTCAAATTGTGGGTTCAAATTTTGGCATAAGGGTACTCAAAAGTTCACTCATTTGGGGAAATTAACAGTGCAAGAACAGGAGAGAAGCAAATGAAAATATTGGAAACCTAGAAATTATGAGCAATCTGTTTATCATATTCTAACCTCCCCCCTCTTCCACCTCAGGACTAAGTATTTTCATTATCACTCAAATGGAAAATACCTTTCATAGTTTCTTAAATTAGTAAAGTTGATGGTGGTAAGTATGCATGACAGGAAGAAAGCACCAGCACATTATCTAGAAAATATGTTTATTGACTTTTCCTGCATTTGTCATAATGTATATACATATAATTATATAAAAGTGCTTATAAGAAAGACTAAGTAAATATTAACTAAAAGTGTTAATTAGGACTTTTTAATTCCCAAATTATTTTTTAAAAAGATTTATTTATACATGCAAGAACTGGGGTACAGGCCAGAGGTGTGGGGGGTGAGAGGATTCACCAGAGACAAAGTGGGTAGCTGAACAGGCAGATTGACTGAAATATACTGCTGAGGGGAGCAGCAGGTGAGGCAGGAGAGGTCTGCTGTGGCATGTGGGTAGCTCCCTGACCTCGTGGAATCGAACTCGCTCTGCAGTGGCTGTGGTTAGCTTCACAGTGCTGTGCTTAACCCCTTGCGTCACCAGGGAGGCCCCCAAATTATTTTAAAACCACTTGGCCACATAGTTTCAGATAAGAGTCCTTAAAACATTGCGTCCCTTGTCCTACTAAAGTGAAACTTCTTTTAAATACCCTTTTTACAAAAATTAACTTGTAGAACAAAAATGCCAGTTACCTATGATTCTAATCCCGACATCCAAGTATTTATTTTTCCTCATTTATTAACATTTGTCAGGCATTTAAATACGTAATGCTAGTTTGCTCTGTCCACCACAAATCTCATGATTCAAATGGTGTTTTACAAAGCACAGGAGAGAAACATAGGACTGTCCCACTCATTCTCCCCATCCCTATTTTTAAAAGATTTTCTGGATGGATGCACATTAAAGAAAAAAATACATATACACCATATATAGTGTGTATATATATATATACTAATATATATATATACACTAACAGTGCCGTAAATTACATTTTTAAAGGAAGGGTTGTAAGATTGAAATGATAAAATAATCTAAATTAGCGGCTGCAGGATGAAGCCCCCACCCTGTCGCTGAGGGCTGGCTCGCCCTTCCCGGGCCCTATGAAGAACCAAGAGCCAGCGAGGCTCTAGCGGGAGCGTGGTTGGGGAGAACTGTGCCGAGCCCCCGACGGGAACCTTCTGCCTCGTGTTTTCTCCACGAAACCTAACTTGGGAATCGCTTGGAAACTGCTCTCACTCTTCTACGAGAAGCAGCAGAAAGCTGAGCTCAGAGAAGCCAGCGGGCCAAGGCGCTGAGCTGAGCCTCTGTGGGGCGGTGAGACCAGGCGTCCGCCAGGCACCTCGAATCAACTAGAATGGCTTGGTGGGTGCTTCCAGGCAGCCGGGGCTGGCGGGGGGCGGCGAGGGGCGGGGCAGGGGGCGTGTCACGGGCCGGACTGCGGCTGCGCCAACTCCGGGGTCCCCGGCGGCGTCCCTCACGCACGCCGCGTCGCCGTGGAAACGGAGGCGGGGCGGGCGCTGGGCCCGCGTCTTCAGGCGCGGGAAGCCGGACGCCCGGGCCCCGGGGAGGCGGGTCCGAGTGTGCGGCTCCCGCCGGGGCTGCGCGGAGGCGCGAGGCCGGAGGGCCGGCGTCCGCAGGTTCGAGGCCCCGTCGGTCGTCTCAGCGGCCAAGTGGTTCGGCGTCCGGGGCCGGGAGCCCGTCGCGAGCT